AAAAAAAAAAAAAAAAAAATTGACAATATGAAGAATAGATTGACGGGAAATGAGAACTGAGATAAATCCTATTTTAACTTCAATTTCTACTTTAAAATCAGCTACGCTCTTTTGGAGAAAAAATTCCCTAGTTGGAAACTTCAGATAAATAGATAAAAGATGGGAGTTAGCCTCTCGGGGATTGGGAGTGTTCTGTAGCTATGTGCGGAGGTTCCCCAGGGCTCTTCCTGGTCAGGCCTATTCCTCACTCTGGAGGTCTAGAACTCTACAATGGCTGCTAAAGGTCGGTTAAAACATTTCATCAGATGATGTGATTATTAAACACCATTTTTTATCAATTCCAACTTTACAAGTTCAGGATATTGCACTTTCTCTTTATGATGGATTTCAATTGCAAACAGGACTTTTAGAAGCAACTGCTCCTTTACTTTGCTGTTCTTATCAGGCAACCTCAACATGGCTAAAACTTCACACTCTCCTAACCAATGAGCCACAACAGAAAGGCGCAGCTCTGAAGGCAAAAGTAGGTATTTAAAAAAACTGAAAAAAGCACAAACATTCAGACCATTTAACTTGGGAGTAAACATTACATGAGGCTACTCTATTACAACAGAAAGTACTGATAAGCTAAATCAAGGAAGTTTATATTCAATAGGGAAGTTTATAACATATGAAGACCTTTAAGAAATAAAATGCAGATGGGCACAGTGGCTCATGCCTGTAATCCCAGCACTTTGAGAGGCCAAGGTGGGCAGACTGCTTGAGCCCAGGAGTTCAAGACTAGCCTGGGCAACATGGCGAAACACCATCTCTAAAAACATTAGCTGAGCATGGTGGCACGTGGGTGTAGTCCCAGCTACTCAGGAGGCTGAGGCAGAAGGATCACTTGAGCCCAGAAGTCAAGGCTACAGTGAGCCATGATCATGCCACTGCACTCCAGCCCGGGCAACAGAGACCCTGTCAAAAAAAAAAAAAAAAAAAAAAAAAAAAAAAAAAAAAAGCTTTGCAGTTAAGCTACCTGGAAAATAAAACTTACATGAAATCCCTCTTGAACAAATAAGATAGATAAACAAAGGAATTTTTACTTGCAACATCCCCAGGTTAAGTTGCTAAAAGTCAAGGTAGTGTGCTAAATGTTTTCTGAATAAAAAGACTAACAGATTATTAACACCACAGAAAAGGAACGTGCTAGTAATAAGGAACTACTCAATCATAAGAGGAGACCAAAAAGAGCGGCTTAAAAAACAAACTTTATTCCAAATTATCAGAAAAAAAAAAGGTTAACTCTGAAACATTGAACAGATTTCATTTACACTCACATGGTCATAAAACTCAAACTATCCAACAAAAATAGCATTGTGCGCTTAACAACATTTAATAATGAATGTTTCAGAGGAACATTTAGAGACTCCCACACCATTTGGGAGCCATTAGGCAATACACAAACAAAGACAGCATTAAAAACTAAAAATTCCCCGATTTCAAGAGAATGCCGGTTCAAGTCTTTGATATGCATTTGCACATAAGAAATATTTTAATTTAAAAGAAACGAAGTTACCCTTCCTTCAATTGTCATCTCCTGTCCACCCTTCATTTCATGATTGCATACCCCTCACTCGACTTCATCTACCCTAAACCAGTGTTACTTCAACCTGACTGGCTTCACTCAAAGCCCTCTAGATCCCGTCAACCACCATTATTCCCTTATATGTTGTTTGCACAGCCTTATATTGAGTATTATATTGTAACTGAGCTCAGGAATTTCAGGTATCCGAAGGTAATTATATACACACACGATTCTGTTTTATTGCACAGTTCACAATATAGCCGGTGATTATACAGCCAATCTTGTTGAGTATCGATTATTTAGACAAAAACATGGATTTTGTCCCCAACCACAAATGAAACAAGAAAGACACACATATTCGCCACCATATAAAGGTTGTGTTTACTCTGTGGTGCAGTCCTGAGGGCTCATACCACTCTAAGTGTGTTAAATACAGAATTCAAAACATTTCTGGTGGCATCAAACATGAAGTATATGACACAAGACCATAAGGGTCCTGCGCTCATGAGCCATTTGTGCCACATATGTAACAGAAAGGCCACTTTTAAAGCTTTTCAGATATTCAATCATGTTTGCCTTTTCACATTTTTTTTGAGACGGAGTCTCAATCTATAGCTCAGGCTGGAGTGGAGTGGCATGATCTCAGCTCACTGCAACCTCCACCTCCTGGGTTCAAGCAATTCTCCTGCCTCAACCTCCCGAGTAGCTGGGATCACAGGCGTGTGCCACTGTGCCTGGCTAATTTTTTGTATTTTTAGTACAGGGTTTTGCCATTTTGGCCAGGTTGGTCTCCAACTCCTGACCTCAAGTGATCCGCCCACCTCAGCTTCCCAAAGTGCTGGGATTACAGGCATGAGCCACCGCACCTGGCCTGCCTTTTCAAAATTACTACGTTAGTTCACACTGAAGGTAAAAACAATAGTTAGAATCTCTTATTAACAACACATTTTGACTTCAAATTCAGACAAAGCTGTCGGTTACAAGGTGTTGAATTTTTTTGTCAAATTTAAGAAATCTATAGGACAACACAAAACCATCCCTAGTAATGTATTTGCAGTTTGGTCTTCAAAAGCTGCAAAGAGTGACAAAGAAATTAAAAAAAAATACCGAGTTAAAACCATTAAAAATATTTATTAGTAATTGTTTTTAAATGCCACTTATTTGAGACAGCACTAACCAAAGCATTTTCCTTAGATTTCTCACTTAGCTTGTATTTCACAAAAGTGCTTTAGAACTTAGATTTCTACCATCTGTATGGAGTGTAAAGACACAAGGAAGCCCAACAAAACCAAAGGCCCAACGGTGTCTATTCCCAGGGCCAAGTTAGAACCCCAGGCTAACCGACCTGCCCTGTGCTGAGTTGCTGGACACACCTGTGGTGCAAAGAGTCACATACAGGAATAAGGGAGTCAGGCACCAAAGCACCTTTATTCATTCATTTTTCAAACTCAACTCCCTTGAAATCCTGACTCTAATAGGCCAAAGGACGTTACTCATATTTATTTGGTGCCAAATTATTGTTATTTTTAAATGCTTACATCTGCACCTTAAAGTAAACTGCAACATCCAGCACAACACTGTCAGACAGAGGTGCCGTATGGCTACTTAGCTTCATTGCTGCCTGGCTAACACTTAACATGCTTCATCCTTTACAGCTGGAAGAAGGATGTTCACTGCTTTTCACCAGCCACACTGCATTTAGAGGTAAACAGCTTTTATGAACTATTTGCCCAGAAACTTTCAGTAAACTACCAAGTTGAGGCCCTGATTTTATTTTGGTCAGTAGGTGCACATACTCACATGCAATCACCCAGAAAGAAGAAAAACTGGTTAACATGAAACCTACCATCATGTCAGATGCTGAAAATCAATCTTTAACTACATATTTACAGAAAGGGTTTTAGAATTCATAATCCACTTTTTCAGTCTGTCTTTTATATTTCATTAGTCAGTTTTAAGTGGCATATGAATCATTTTGCTTTATCTGGAAAATATTTTCACATTTTCCAATTCCTTTGTCAAAGAAGTTTTCCTCTGTTAAGGGATAAGAATGTTATTTGGCTATTACCTACTTTTAAAATTCAAATTAACCCTTCAAACCTGTTTATTTAGATCATATGCTCTCAAACTATCTTTTACTGACACAATGGTAAAACTGGGTTCCCAAAACCTCAAAACCCTGATAAAGTCTCTATTTCCAAGAATAAAATAAAAGACAGCCAACACTGTGGGATGAAAATGATCCTGAGCCTTTTCCCCACTCTGTAACATTTAGAAACTAGGGGGGAAAAGTGGGATTGCATTGACAGACATCCAAAACAAAATGTTATGGAAGCGTTTATTTTTTAAAAGGAGAGTTTTAAGAGAACAGGACGCTTGAATATGACCAGCTCCTACTCAAGGGGAAAAATAACCACAGACCTTTGCTGAGATGGCACCAATAATTTAAAGAAACAAAGCTAAACGGAATTTTATCTATACACAATTAATATGAAAACTTAACAGGATGGAACACTTATAACAAAATTTAAGTCCCTTCATCTTTTGGCAATGAAATAAGTGAAATTAACATAAGGATATTTTGGAAGGGTTGAAGGTCACAGTCAAAATCAAACAGAAAACTTTTAAACTGGAAAGCAAAATGCAAACTTTCATAGTTCCTTGATCTACCCTATCTAAATAGAAATAGTATAATGACTATCCAATAGATGCTTAGTTTCAAAATGAATACAAGCAATTTACCATGAAAAGCCTATATACCTAATAAGCTGCTTTTCTGCTCTGTTCTGCTCCTTTGTTATATGCTTGAGCTTAATGAAGACTACCCTCTACAGCTGCTCCTGAGGGCAGAGAAGCAAGTAATGGAGTAAAAAAGTAAGCCTGAAAAGCCCCTGGCCCCTGAGGACCTTCTCTCTGGCCGGTTACAAACACTTATGTTTCAATGCAGAAGATTTCAAGACTGATTTGAAGAACAGAATCCTATCTTGGGGATTAGGTTCCCTGTCAAAGGCCATCAGATGGACAGCTATTTACCAGGCAATTAGCCTAAAGCTCTTAGGTAATGATAAAAAACAAAACCAACAAACAAAACTCCCCATATTTTCCTATTGGAACCTTTCATTCTGTTTTGTTGATGCTTAAGGAAAACAGCTTTGCCCATAATTCACTGTGGCCTGGAGTTATGACACCAACTTGTATTTGGCCAATTAAGAAAGAGGCCAAACTACATTCTTCTTAGAAGTTCTGTTCAGTTGAAAAATGGCACTTAACTGGTGGTGTTTTCATATAACCTTTAACAAGAACTCATAAGTTGCATTGATTATGCCCCAAGAGATAAGGGACCGATGATAATTCAGATGGGCACCTCTGAAAAGATTTATCAGTTTTCTGTCTCGTTCCAGCCAGATTTTTTGGAAAACTTTGGGGAAAGACTGAAATTCCCCACCAATCTGAGACTGTATGCGAGTTTTTACAACATTAATTGGAAAAAACAAGAATCCCAACATGGCACCCAACAGACCTCCACAGATAAAATCATTGACCAAATGAGCACTGTGAGTCGTTGCGGTAGGCAGATGTTCCTTAATGGGACCTCGGAGGCCGAAAAAAAAGACATTGCTGAGTCCATTACGGAAAAGAATGGGCACCAAGCCTCGATAATACTCTCCAATTCCATGACACTTCAGTGCCTTGAATGCCTGGTAAGTGTTGGTAAATTTGTCATGATGCTTGTGGTCTTGAAGCAATGTCTGAACTCTTTCCAGTGGAGTGAAAATTGCTTCTGTTGTCCCTGCAAGCACTGCTGCCACGCTGCGAGTTGCAAACTCTGGAGCACTGACATGCTTGTGGAGAAGGCAGGATAAATCCTCATACAGACCAAACATAAGTGCGAGCGTAGTTGTCTTCTGCATCAATGGGGGAAGGATTCCACGATACAAGTTTCGAAACCCATCCCTTCTCAACTGAAGTATTGCATCCCGGGTTTTGATGCCATACAGCTGCTGTCGAAAGAGGACCTTCTGAATGGGAAATGTGATTGCGACGTTGTTGAAGGCTGCACAGCAGCCACACAAGTAATGCTTCATTTCACCAACGTTTGTAATATGAGGTGACATATCTTGTTTTGAAGATGTTAGAATTGGTGGTCTCTTTTCATGAGCTTCTGAATCCATCATGTTGCTTAAGATCTTTCTTTTTCATGAAGGACCTTTTTTAACCTACAAATAATAAATGACAACGGGTAAACCCGTTTTTATAGAGAGCTAAACACATGGAATTTCTCCCTAATCCATCCTCTAATATCTGGACACCACACTTTCCTTTTCAGGCTAGATCAATGATTCTTAAAGCACTTTCAGAAGACCCCTGGAAGTTCCTGAGATCCTTTTGGGAGTCTAGGAGGTTTTCCTTTTTCAAACTATGTGAGGCTTGACTTTTTGCATATACTTTAATCAAAACGACGTATCACAACAGATTGCAGTAAACAGGAAACTCCATGTGTCTTTTAAGTCAGATATGAAAGAGGCTTAGAAAATTGTAAGATATTTTCTAATGACTGTAAAATCACTAGAAAAAAATGGGAGACATGAGTAGTTATTTTTCATGGAAATGTGTTAACATGTAATGTGTTTACCATCACCTTAAAATTAATATTTTAAATTCTTAAAGACCTGGAATATGAGTCCATATAAACAAAGGCTGTTTGGGGCCCACAATAATTTTTTAAGAGTGTAAAGGAGTTCTAACACCAAAAAATTTCGAGAGGCACTAGACTAGTTCGTAAGTACTGACTACACTATATAACAGTATATTATCCTGCTGAAATAGACCCACATTCTATAGCAAGACATGCATTCATTCTATTCATATTTGTACTTCTTTGGTACCTGCTATGAACTAGGTCCTCTGCTAAGTTGCTCGAGATTCAAAGATAAGGAACTTACAAACTAATAGAATTTGCCAAGGTGAACAATTACACCAATGTGACAGCTTCTCTGATAACTATCCATGTGGGAACACAGGTAAGGGACACTGAACATGCATCGTGGAAGGTGGAGGTGTGGGACGAGCAGGGCAAGGAAGGCCTGCAGGTATGTACCATGCACTCCATTTTCATATACGAATTCTCAAAACAACTCCATAAAGTATTATTTTTCCAGTTTTACAAATGAATAAAACCAGTATTTTCTTTTGTTCAAGGCACAGCTAGTAACTGGTGGGGTGAGCATTTTGAAATGAAGTCTGACTGATTCCAGGGTTCATATCCCTGCTACCATATCACAGATGGCAATGACTATGTGAGGCTGCCCTGGGATAAGAGGTAGCTATACCAGATAGTGCTGAAAATGATTTGAAGCCTGCACACATAGGCTGAGCTGAGTGGAACTAGCCAAAGTTCTGCCCCTATAATACATTTGCCCCTGTAAAATACAGTATCTTTCCTTGCCAGTCATCTAAATCTGATTCCCTCTCTTCCTCCCTGAAAGAGTCCAGAACCAAATAGTTGGGGCACTCAGAACAATTCCTACCTTCCAGTGCTGGTCTTGGAAATCACCTTTATTTGGGGAATAACAAGGATAATCACCTTTATTTGTATTATATCTTATATATGTGTGTATATATGTATGGGTGGGTGGGTGGGTGTGTGTGTGTGTATCCGGCTAAATATTTTAAAATTGGATTTTAATTCCTTAACAGTAAGAGACGGCCAGGCATGGTGGCTCATACCTGTAATCCCAGCACTTTGGGAGGCTAAGGTAAGAGGATCGCTTGAATCTAGGAGTTTGAGACAAGCGTGGGCAACATAAAGAGATCCCATGCCTACAAAAAATTTAAAAATTAGCTGGGCATAGTAGCACATGCCTGTAGCCCCAACTATCTGGGATGCTGAGGTGGTAGGATCAATTAAGCCAGGGAGGTCACTGCACTCCAGCCTGGGTAACAGATCAAGACTCTTGTTTCTAAAAATAACAACAACAATTTAAAAATTAAAAACAGTAGTCAGGTGCAGTGGCTCACGCCTGTAATCTCAGTACTTTGGAAGACCAAGGTGGGAGGATCGCATGATCCCAGGAATTTGTGAACAGCTTGGACAACACGGTGAGACCCTCTCTCTACAAAAATAAAAATAAATTAGCTAGGCATGGTGGCATGTACCTGCAGTCCCAGCTACTGGGAAGGTGGTGGCAGAAGGACCTCTTGAGCCCAGGAAGTTGAGGCTGCAGTGAGCTGTGTTCATGTCACTGTGTTCCAGCCTGGGTGACAGTAATACCTTTTTTTTTTTTTTTTAAACAAAACAAAACATACAATCCAACAATCGTAATTCTGGGGATATAACCAAAATAACTGAAACAAAGTCTCAAAGACTTTGCACACCCATGTTCACAAAGGTACTATTCACAACAGCTAAGAGGCAGAAGCAATCCAAACCATATTTAAGGGTTTCAATGAGAAATAATAAAAACAATGAAAAAATGTCTGGGTCTTTGACTTAGAACAAAAAATTGCCAAGTTCCTTATGTTTTTTTTCTTTCTCATGCTACACACATGCTGTGGTGAACTGCTAAACATTCAGGACAAAAGATGTTAAAGAGAACCGTGACTACTCTCAAATTAAAAAGCATAGAGCTGAGGCACAGAAAGAATCAGAAAGCACCAGTTCCTAAGGGGCGTATATGTGCCAGAGCCAACGATATGTAATGAATAAATGAACACAGAACCATAATTTTCCAAGATTATAGATTAAGAAAATAATTCACACAACATTACACAAAGATTCAGCCATAATATAGTCACAGCAAGGCTTTTAACAGCAAATACTGAATAAAAATGCTCAACAGTAAAGGATACAATGTCCAAGTGAAGACGTATCCACAGCATGAGCCACATACTTAATAAACATAAGCATTTAAGGTTCAGTATAGCATGAATTTTAAATTTTTAGTGGTATTTAGATGGAAAGTGAAAATTAAATAGTATATGTATGTCAGGTACCTATGTCAGGGGAGATAAGACATGCAAATAATTAGACTATATGAAGATGATAAATACAGTCATGGAAAGTATCAAGGCTCCATACAGCAGAAGGTCATTAATCAGCTGTCTGGAGGGAATGACAGGCAGAACAGGAACCCTGGGCTCCGCTCTGAAGGCTGAGTAAGTGTCACTATGCAGATAACTGTGAAACACATTTTAGACAATGGAGCGGCACAGGCTAAGGCATAGGTCTTGGGCCAAAGGAGCAGTGTCACCACATTCTTGGAGATTACTTGTGTATGCCCTGCAGAGGCACAATGTAGGTGGAGAAGGATGGGTAGCTGATGAGGACAGAGAAGCAGGCTAGGACTCTCAGGAAAATCCCAAGACCCTCTCAACAATACTACATTATATATATCTATACATATCTATACATACATATATAGATACTTTTTTTTTTTTTTTTTTTTTGGAGACAGTGTCTTACTCTGTTGCCCAAGCTGGAATGCAGTGGTGCACTCTTGGCTCACCTGCAGCTTTAAATTCCTGGAGTCAAGCAATTCTCCGACCTCAGCCTTCTGAGTACCTGAGACTACAGGCTTTTTTCTTTTTTTGAAACTGAGTCTCGCTCTATTGTCCAGGCTGCAGTGCAGTGGCATAATCTTGGCTCACTGCAACCTCTGCCTCCCATGTTCAAGTGATTCTACTGCCTCAGCCTCCTGAGTAGCTGGGATTACAGGTGCACACCACCATGCCTGGCTAGTTTTTCTATTTTTAGTAGACGCAGTTTCACCGTGTTGGCCAGGCCGGTCTTGAGCTCCTGACCTCAGCTGATCCGCCTCCCAAAGTGCTGGGATTACAGGCATGGGCCACCGAGCCTGGTCTAATTTTTGTATTTTTTGTAGAGATACATTTCAACACATTGCCCAGGCTGGTCTCGAGCTTCTGGGCTGAAGTGATCCACTCACCTCAGCCGCTCAAGGTGCTGGGATTACAGGTGAAAGCCACTGTGCCTGGCCAACATTCTTTTCTTTCTCTTGTAAAGCAGATGAAAGAAACTATTTTACTTAAGTATGTTACACCAAGATCTGTGTGTCCTTTTTGAAGAATATAGACTATTATTAAGAAAATGTAGACATCTGTACAATCTATGGCCCAATGACCCTTTGAAGTTTGAGCTGCTTTGCCGTCATGTTTCTATTAGAAAAGATGAACTCTTAACTGAGAGCAAGTTAGGACTAATGTCACTGAAGGCCCAAAGTCTACCCTAAGGAAGGTAATACGAGGAGTCAGGAAACTTCTCCTCACTCAAAGTCACCTGGTTGTATCCAGAGAGCTGGGCAGTGTCAGAGGTAAAACCTTTCACTGTCCCCTCCCTGATCAGGAGAGCCATACTACCTCTAAGGTCCAAAATATTTTGTTCAGTTGAAGAAACCTGCTCTGAAAATTTGTTTTGCTGCAATTTAAACAGAGGAATTACTTCGAATTTTGGTGGGTACTAATGCAGTTAGATTATGAAGTCACCTGTATGCTCCATTGAGAGATCCCAGATTCCTTGGAGTTGGGCTGTTTGTAGATCCAGTAACAACAAAAAAAATCACTTAAATAAAAATTCAGAAAATAAATGTGTATTACCTAAGCGAATAGAGAAAAAAAGCTGGAAATCAATTAAATACACAGAGAGTCTCTCCTCCAGGCTCACCGGCCTACTCGGGTCTCACCTCACCTGCACTAATGCAAGGGGCCCTGCAGCAAGCAACCTGACTCTGTCCACACTCACCCCACCCGCTTCTCCCTGCCTTCTTCCAAACTACTCATCGTTTAAAACACACACACACACACACAGACACACACACACACACACACACACACACAATACTAAGTAAAAAAAGTAAGGTGTATAACAATGCATTTTGGAATCTAATGTCAGCAAAGAGATATTAGAGGTTGCACAGTACTCTATGAAATGACTGCACTATATACAATTTATTAAGGTTGCACAGTACTCTATGAAATGACTGCACTATATACAATTTATTCTGTCTCCTATTTATGATTGCTGTTTTTTTTTTCTTTTTTATGGTTTTGTTTTGTATTTTTAAAGTTTGGAAAAGCCTGTGGACAATTCAGCTTACCAAGTGTGTGAGTGT